CACTGTACACAGCGCCTTCACGACATGGCGGCGGCAACAACAATACTACAGCGAGAATAAAAGTTAAGCCTTCTTTCTTTGCATGAACATTTGGGCGGCGTTATGCAAATCTCCCCTCATCGTGACGTAGACATGTGGGGGCGTGTTAGAATGAGCCATTTTAGGTAGGTGTGGCTGACTCTTAACTTTTATAAAGAATATCTCTTTGGATTTGAGACTTTAGTCTTTGCAACTTTACAGATCTTCTTTATGCACCAAGAGCTTGTAACACTCCAAAGAGAAAGGAAAAATTGAAATCGCATCATATGACCCCTTTAATACTGATGTCTGGAGTGTGACATACAGACAGTTTGAACAGGATCTTGAGCGTGTGAGAGTTGATCTGGACTGTGACAGAGGAACTGTGTCATTCTCTGATCCTGTAACTAACACACATCTACACACATTCACAACCACCTTCACTGACACTGTCTTGCAATTCTTCTGGTGTGAGTGGTTTGCCCATCTTAGTATCTTACCATTTGATAGTCAGTAAACATTATCATGTTTCCAATGTTTAATCCAAGTAGACAGTTAAAAAAATTCCCTAATTCTGTCATTAACTTTAAATGGACAGTGTATTAAGTGTATTTAAGCGTATTCATAGAGAACTGAAGCACCAGAACAGTTTGTTTCCATCCCTTCATCCCGTGTGTAATAATGTTTCAATCAGCTGATAATATGGCCTTTTAATGTTGAGTATGTTTCAGAATTGTAAACAGTCCTTTGCTGTTCAGATATTATTTATAAATGTATTATTAAATAAATATATTTTTATATTTCTAGTCTGGAATTAAAACCATCATATAGTTGGTAAAGCATCAAGTCAGAGCTCAGTTTATCCTGTGATGCCACCACTTTAGATGGTTTCTGTCGGGATTCTTGACACTTGGGTTGAAGCTCTTTATAGAAACATCTGGCAAGGTGGAGGGATGATCTCTCTTTATTCTGGGTACAAAAATAGAGATTTTCAAACATAATCATAAAGACATGTCATGTATTCGTGTACTGAAGTATTTTAACATCAGATGTCCGATGACAAATCTTCTTTAATATTTTAATTCACTATCCAGGGTCAAATAAGGCAGACAAAGAGTTAACAAACATGAGACCCAAAAAGGCAGTATGATAAAGAAGCAGAAACTCCACCCTCTTACAGCACTTACCAGGAAGTGACTGTCTTAATATTTCTCCTTTCTGTTATACTGACTGTCGACAAAAATATAAAGGAATTAGTGATCAGTAGAGAAAGAAGAGAAATACTTTCAAGAAGGATTTTTGAGAAGTTTGTTTCTAAACAGACAGCAGATATTTGTGATTCTTGTGGTTATTCATTTTTGCAACATCATTCAGAAAGTGAAAGTAAAGTTTAGATTGCTGGAGCCCAAACAGTGAAAATGGATTCACTATCGGAAGATGATTTTTCTTGTCCTGTGTGTATTGAAATCTTCAAGGCTCCTGTTGTTTTATCATGTAGTCACAGTGTCTGTAAAGAGTGTCTTCAACAGTTCTGGAGAACCAAGGAAACTCAGGAGTGTCCTGTCTGCAGGAGATTGTCAAGACATGAACCTCCATTAAATCTTGTGTTACAAAACTTGTGTGAGTCGTTCCTGAAGGAGAGAAAAGAGAGCCGTTCATCAGGATCTGAGGAGCTCTGCAGTTCACACAGCGAGAAACTCAAACTCTTCTGTCTGGAGGACAAACAGCCGGTGTGTTTAGTGTGCTTTACTTCACAACAACATGACAATCATAAATTCAGACCCATCAGTGAAGTTGTGTCATCATATAAGGTGAGTCAGATTTATTTCTGAGGATTAAAGCTAAACTTCTCAGTGCCATTGTGCTCATCTATATTACATAAGTCTCCAGTGTTATATTGATTTTCATTTTAAATTCCAGGAGGAGCTCAATACAGCACTGAAGTCCTTACAAGAGAAACTTACACATGGAGAAACAATGAAAGGACAGTTTGAAGAAACAGTTGAACACATCAAGGTGAGCACTGATTCCTGACATTTCCAAATTTGACCTTTTTTGACTGGAAGACAGAAACGTTGAATGCATGTATTTTAGATCAAATATAATTATTTAAGTTTTCATCACACAGTTACATAAAGTAATTTACACCATAGTTTACACTTTACAATAAGGTTCCATTAGTTAATGTTAGTTAATGTATTAACTAACATGAACAAACAATGAACAATACATTTATTACATAATTTATTAATCTTTGTTAATGTTAGTTAATAAAATACAATCATTCATTGTTAGTTCATGTTTATTCACAGAGCATTAACTAATGTTAACAAGCACAACTTTTGATTTTAATAATGCATTAGTAAATGTTGGAATTAACGTTAGCTAAGATTAATAAATGCTGTAGATGTATTGTTCATGCTTAGTTCATGTTAACTAAAGTAGTTAACTAATGAACCTTATTGTAAAGTGTTACCGTTTACTCAAAGTATATGGAATTACATTTTAGAAATATACATTTAAAATGTATTATCTTTCTATTATGGGAAACAGATGAAAGATATTGTTGACTGTTGTATATACAAATGATTTCAGGCCAACAGCAACCATTATAACTGGATCGTTGTGTTCCTCTCACTTTTAAAAATTACTTAATTCGTATTAAGAAGTTTATTTCGCATAATGGCAGTGCGAGGGGAAATATAACCATTTGCGTAAACAAAGTTTCTGATGTTGGTTGCTAGTTGGCAGGACTACGCTCAAGCAGGAATCATATATTGGCTAGTAGCGCCCAACATCTATTGTCCAGCATTCAGCTAATCATTTAAGAGCATGTAGATATATAATCATATTTGTAAACTGTACTGACAATATGCATCTATACCTGAGGAAAACATGAGCAAAAAGATGTTTAAAGCAATGTTGCTAAATATCCCATCTTACCCCAAGGGTCTAATTTGATCTTTTTACTTAAAAACAGGAAAACTATAACTTTTACTCCACAAAATGCTGATGTGTCGACAGATCCCTCATTAACAAATTAATGTAAAAACCTTTAATATTCAACATAATACAATGCCATAGATCACTTTTTTCCAGAGGCACAAAACTAGATCAATTAATCTTAAAACAGCTTTGACTGACTAAATCTCACAAATCTCACAAAGAGTGAGGCAATTCATCAAAAGTGCTGATTTGAGATTTTGTGCCATCTATGGTCAAGAAAAAAAAAACAACCTTTATTTACCCTTTATCTTTATCAAGTAGTGATGTATATTTGTATATATGCACCCTGCTGTGTACAATGTGTATTTGCACCTGCAGACACTGAACATCTTCTGCTTCAGTGTTAGTAAAGTTAAAGTTGTAGTTAACTAACCCACATTTAGTCATTCACTCTTCATGCTGCTCCAGAATAGATTGCGTCTTTTAGATGATTGAAGTGAAAGTGATTTGATTTCAGTCTCAAGCTGAGCACACAAAGCGTCAGATTAAACAGCAGTTTGAGAAGCTTCATCAGTTTCTCAGAGATGAAGAAGAAGCTACAATCACTGCACTGAGGGAGGAAGAGGAGCAGAAGAAGCAGATGATGAAGGAGAAGCTGGAGGAGTTCAACAGACACATCTCAGCTCTTTCACAGTCAATCAAAGACATGGAGGAGATGATGAAAGCCAGTGACGTCTGCTTTCTGAAGGTCTGGTTTCAGATCATTGATTGATTGATTGATTGATTGATTGATTGAGTTGTTGATGATAAACTGTGTGTTTGTTCTGCAGGAGTTTCCAGTCTCAATGGAAAGGTGAGTGATCTGCTGCTGTCTCTGCTCTCTCTGCTTCTGATCCAAAGCCACTGCAGTTCTGATCCTGAATGTTCTTCCAGAGTCCAGATCTCATCACAGCCGGATCCACAGACGCCTTCTGGAGCTTTGATTCATGTGCCGCGTTACTTGGGCAACCTGAGCTTCAGAGTCTGGAAGAAGATGCAGGATATCGTCCAGAACAGTGAGTCTGACTGCAGAAGATCTAAACATTAGTCTTGAATTAGTTGGCCCATGCATTTTATCTTTTGCAATTCATAAAATGCAATGGAAGTTTCTGTTAAGGGAACATAGTGAGCATCAGTGCTCCCTAGTTTTTGTGGGATTTTTGTAGGGAGCGATAATTGCATTGCGCACAATGGATTTTGTGATTGAGACAGCTCTTAAAATGGTTGACTCCCTGATCAATGCTTGAAATAGTGATCTAGGAAGCTGATCAAGACACACTCATAGAATGGAAGCTTAAGTAAGATTTAAAGGGATAGTTCACCCAAAAATGAAAATGTGATGTTTATCTGCTTACCCCCAGAGCATCCAAGATGTAGGTGACTTTGTTTCTTCAGTAGAACACAAA